TCACCGGGGAGCCGACTGGCAGCGCGAGGTGCCCGGGAAACGGGGCTAAGGAGGGGGCTAACGGGAGCCGCTTATGGGGAGAAGCGCTGAGGAACCAGGCGGGTTTCTGAGGGAGCCCCCCGCACCAGGGCTTGCCCCCTCCTGCCCCTCTAATTAAGGCCGGATCCTGCTCTGCAGGCAATCAGCAGCTTAGTGCATCCCTGGAGGAACCCTGGAGGCGGGAGAGGAAGCACAGTTCTCCCCGGGAACCGAGAAACGCTTTGGTCGACAAAACACACACGGACACAGACCCCTTAAATACATTTCATGTTTTAATTTGGACATTGATCGCTCCGCAAAACGCCTCCGTCTGCCCACAAGTACACCCCTTCTGCAGCCAGCGTGGTTTAAATTAAAAAAAAAAAAAAAAAAAAAGACATCACAACCTCTCCCAAGACCAAATACCCCATTTCTTACCTCTGCACCCCAGATCCTCCCCCAGTCAGTTCTCTCTCACCGCACCACGACATACGTAACATCTCTCCTTAGCTCATCAAACAAGGCGAAGAAAAAGAAAACCAAAATGAAGGCTTTAGAGGAGGGAAGCTCTGAACACCGACAGCTCCTGCAAACCTCTCGTCTCCAAGACCTGCTCTGCACCCACCACACACGTCCCACGGGACAGCATCGCCCCAGCAGTTTCGGATTTCAGCCGAAATTGGCTTTGGGACAGTTGGAAGGAGACAGGCAGAGAGCAGGATGCTCCTTCCCCACCCCTCTCACAACATACCGAGTCCCAGAGAAAAACTTGAAGAGGGTTTTGGGGTAGTTATACGTATTGAACAACCCCAGGACCCTTCCTAACCCAGCTTCTGCCAACGACACAGTGTTAATTCAACTAAACCACGTCAGAAACCCAAGTGTCACGCCAGCACCGACAGCCCTGGGGAGCGCAAGGAGACCGGTGCCGCCACCAATATTGCACACAGACAGCTCTGGGGGGCTGTGAGCAGCCGGGGGGCTGCGAGGGGCTGCATCCCCATGCCCGCACAGCGCTTGGGATGAGGCTTCACCCCAGCGTGGCACCGCCAGCTTTCACCTCCAAAACCAGGACATCTCTCCAGCACCCCCTGTGAGGAAACCCCTCCCCCCCCCGCCGAAAGGGACGAGTTTCTCCAAAAGGAGCAGAATAAAATGGGAATTTGCTTCCCAGGCGCTCTGCTCGCAGCCGCCCTTCCCTTCGTGTCTGGAATCGCTCTCCCGCTTGCCTTCGTGCTACTCTACAGATCCACCCGCCGGCACCCGCTGCCTTCATCGCCGGCACGGTGGGCAGGCTCCCGCACCGTGGCAGTGCCAGGTCTCCCCGCTCCTCCCGTGAGCAGGCCTCTCTCCCCTTGTGCTGGGGAAAAGGATTCATCCGCAGCGAGCAGCGCGCACGAGGCGGGCGCTTTCCGCATCATCTCCTGAGCCCAGCCCGGCCGCTTCTCCCATCACGCAAGATCCCGACCTGATGAGACCGTTTCCTCTATTCCAAGACCTGAATACTTTCTCGTTTTAAGGCTTAGACTAGCAACTCAGCTGCTGCAACAAACCAGACACGCTGCCGAAAGGAAGAAAGTCAGTTAAAAAGAAGAAAACCCAAACCACCTTGGCGCTAGGCACGCGGAGGGCTTTGCTTTCCTCTCCCAGGCGGCAAACCCGTTCTCAACACCCACCCGGTTAGCACGTGACACAAGCCTGCTTTCAGGGGGTTGCTCTTAAAACAGCCAGAAAAACGCAAACTAAACTCTCACAAACGCCCCGCAGGTGGGACTGTCACATTAAATACACAACTGAGGCCAACTTTTAAAATGTTTTTAAAAAAACAAAACCCCACACGCGCATACACACACACACTTTGGCACACAAGCCTTAAGTTATATCACTTGAAACATTTCAAAGTCAGAGAGGGAGCTACTGGGGGTTTTTTGTTGGTTTTTTTTTTTTCCTTGTAAAAAGGTATCAAGCAGTGGTGTTGGTGAAGCATGAAGAGCGAGTGCAAATGCTGAACAGTCCCAGAGCTGTCCCTGCAACGCTGCTCACCGCTTGCACTCCAATTACTTTTCCAAAGCAGCTAGCTGATTACATACACGGATATAAAAACCTAATGCAGACATTCCCAGTTTTCAATGTGAAAACGGTAAAATGTAATCGAGTACTTGTGCATTTGCCATAGGGTCCTTCAGAAAAGGAACCATAAAAATATTTTTTTAATAAAAGTCTTTTTTTCCTTTTTTTTTTTTCTTTTTTTTTTTTCTTTTTTCTTTTTTACCCTTAACTTAAGTAAAGAGCAAATATACACCTATAAGCAGAGTTCAGATCCACTTTACTGAGAGCCTGGAAGTCCGTACATCAAATTAATTCCCAGTGGCGTATCCAGACACCGGAACAGCTCCCAGCTCCCAAGGGCCAGCGTTCCTGAAAGATCTGCAGCTCCAGCTAACCTCGTTAGCCAGCGTGAAGCAAAGACTCATTCAAGCCTCATCTGTCTCCACCAACACTCGCCCAACAGACTCCGCAGCTGAGCAGCGCTCTGCCAAGCAGAGCCTCACACACAGGACCCGGCTCTGGGAGCATCAGAGCTGGCCATCTGGGCAACAAACCTGAGTCCTGGCGATTCCAACCCATATCAGGTTGTAACAATGAAAATATAAGCACTGAGCTTATATTTTCTTATTACTCAGAGGACAGACCACTGATTCCAGCTACTGAGAAACAGCTTCCAGAGGAGAGCCGGGAGGAACTTCAGTGATAGAGAAACTAGCTGTGCAATAAGAAAGTGCATTTAAAGGTAGCTTAAAACCAGATTAAAGATCAAATCGCCACTCGACAGGAGGGAGAATCAAGCTCCAGCAGCCACGCTCCTTGGGCTGGGTGGGTTAACATTCAGGCTCTCTCTCGCGAGTCCGAGGGGCAGGAGAGAAGCGTGCATTCCCGTGCTCCGACAGGGACACAGTTCTCCTGGCAGGCCATGCTCTCCTGCCCGGTTTGCTTCTGTGCGGTATCAGTTCTGGACAGCTGTCATCGGAATTCGTAGATAGGAGCGCTGTGCTCAGGAACGTGAGTTAAATTCAATGACTGATACCTGGGAGAGAGAGGAAAAGAAATGAGAGGATTACACAGAGCAACAGAACTCCCCTAGCGCTAACAGCTCCTGCTTGGCAGGAGCCACAGAGCAGACATCCTGGTGGCTGGCTCTTCTCGTCCCCTTCACATTCTCAGAATCAAGTCTCAGAAGCATTCAGGCACCCAGCATCCATGGTGCCCCGTGAGGACTCGGCATCATTCTTCATTTCCATGCCCACGCCTTTGAGCAACCTGCAGCCAGGCTGCGCTCGAGGTGGGCTGACTGTGGTGCTTGGACACCTTTTGAAGTTCAACCACTTTCATGTTCAAACGGTGTTTGCTACAACTGCAAATTGCATTTAGGTCTTTCAAAGCTTAGCTCGAGGCGATTCGTCTGAAAGCCTCCCAGGTACCTTCCCTCCCCCTGAAAGCTTCCAGGCACCCTACAGATTCACTTGCTGCACATGACAAATATCCGAGGCTGTCAGAGGGAGAAGATCTCTCCACAGCTATTTGTCACACGGCTTTAACAAGAAACCAACCAATTAACTTTGTTCCCTGTGTCTTACAGGAACATCCCAAGGACCGTGGACTACAAAGCACCGGCCTAACAAGACTGCTGTGTGAAAGGAGCAACGGCCAAACTGTTACATGCAAGAAAGCACTGAGCTCCTTCTCCAAGGCCCCTCCGACATCCTCTGAAGGGCCAAGGCATGGAGAAACTCAACGCTTGAATCGCTGAGCAAAGCACAGCCCTGCACAAGAGGTGCCCCCACGGGAGGGCAGGAGCAGGCAAGCCCCGAGAGTGTTTGGACTGGAGACCAGGCTTCTGGAGGGATGCTTCTAGTGAACCACAGCTGGTGTCTGCCTCCCAACGTACCTCACAGACGCACCAGACCACTGCTTCATTGGGCCATGGCACATCTCCAGACCTCCTATCTCCCCTGCACCACGTTGCCAGCTCGATTATCCCCAGCCGTGCAAAAAGGCCGGCACTTTATACCACATGAATGGGCTGCACTAGCCTGCTCTGGCCAAGCATGGCACACCCCCCCTCCCTTTGCCCCGAGGTCCAGCTGTCAGACTGAATCTCTTTCCCAGCCCAGAGGAGCACCACCTGGACCCTCCCAAGGCTGCAGCCAAGCAGAAGAGGAGTCACTTCCACCACAGGAGGAAGGAAGCTTCCTTACCATTCTGAACTCCTATGGTAGTAATAGCCCTCTATAGATGCTGCTGACTTCTGGAAGCAGATGTAATAGAAACCAGCAAAGGAAGCACCGCTGATGTCTTTGATAGTGTGATCTGGGACTAGGAACTGTTCCTGCACACAAAACACACACCGCATTTTAAAATGCCGGTCAAATATTAGCCCATCACCCCCCATCCCAATCTGCCCTCCCAAACTGAGTATTGGCACCCGTTAACACGAAGGCACTCTTGGCTGAGCATTCCCCGCACTTGCAGCAGCCCAGACCAGAGACCAGCATGTTCTTTCACCACCTGCCACTGTAGGCATCTTACAGAGAAGCAGACAACTGAGAACAGAACCAGTTTTAAAAGTGCACGAGATCTGTTTCAGTTCAACACCTACCCACTGCAAACCAGAAGCCAATTGCAAAATCAGGAATCAGAGCTGCCTGACAATGAAGAGAAGGCTCAGAGGAGACCTTACTGCTGCCTTTCGATACTTACAGGGGGGCTTGTAAGGAAGATGGAGAGAGACTTTTTACCAGGGCCTGTCCTGTAGTGATGGGATGAGGGGTAATGGTTTTAAACTAAAGCAGGGTAGGCTTTAGGTTAAATATAAGGAAGAAATTCTTTACTATGAGGATGATGAGACACTGGAACAGAGAAGCTGTGGATGCCCCATCCCTGGAAGTGTTCAAGGTCAGGCTGGTCATGGCTTTAAGCAACCAGAAGGCATCCCTGGCCACAGCAGGGGAGGGGGCATGTACTAGATGATCTTTAAAAGTCCCTTCCAACCTAAAACTTTCTGTGATTCTATGATTTCCTCCCATCACAGCTGCACAAAGCTTTGTAAAGAAGGAGGAATCAATCCAGCTGAAGAGCAGAGAGGTGCAGACTGGCCAGTCTGCAAACACACAGGCCCCACACAGGGACCAAAGACACCAATTCTCTCATCCTCTGGAGCATCACCAAGCAAGCTTTTCCTGTTGTGTTTTTAGCCATGACTGCAACCCTTAAGGACGCAATTAGCTGGCTAGACAGGAGTCACACTGGACTTTGCAAGCGTGGTGGGTTACGAGGTTGGTAGGGTCAGATCTTTCATTAAGCCAGCGTAGCTGAAAAAGCTTTCAAGCCCCACAAGCCTCTGTCAGTCGCTTGTAAGCAGCTCAGAGAAGGAGACATGCGGAGTTTACCTTCCATCTCATGAAGACATAGTCCCCATTTTTCAGATCCTCATAATCAAAGTCATCAGAGTTAAATGTTTTTGCATACTGGTAAAAAGCCTGGAACTTTCCCTGAAATAAAAAAGGAGGAAAAAAAAAAAAAAAAAGAAACAAACCAGGATGCATATTCCAGGAGTAGAGCTCACTAGTGCCAGCTGCTATTTAGGAGGGAAGAACTGCTATGGAACAGGA